CCTCCCGCCATGCTCGGGGGGTGGGGGCCGCACGCAGACAGCTGGGCCCCGGTGTCAGCTGGAGCCGAGTCTGCTGTGCATGACTGGCACCCCGCCTGCCTTCCTCCCTGGGCTGCGTCCCTCAGTTCTGCCCCCTGCTCCAGCTCCACGCTGACTTGCCCTCCTGGCCAGCTCCACACAGGCCCTGACTACAGCCTCCCAGCCTGCTGCAGCCCTGAGTCGCCCCCCATCGATGGTCTGATCTGTCTCTTTGCTCTGGAACCTTCCAAAGGCCACTGAAGACACCGACACAGAAGGAAAAAGCACTGTGGCCACCGGCACCAGAAGGTGGGTGGGGTCCCCGGTGAGCGTACCTGAGGGGCACTTCTTAAACCCGGGCAGGAGGCACAGCTTCTCGCTCAGGATCTTCCCCACCATCCTGGGCACAAAAAGCACCGGCCGGGGCCGGGCAGGCCTGTGGGGCTGCACCAGGGTGTAGGGTGCCAGGGTGAGGCAGCTCTCCGTCCACAAGCCTGGGGCGGCAGAGTCTGGAGGAGGGGAGACAGCAGTGAGCCCCTGGGCCCCACCCTGCCGGCCCCAGGAGGCACCCAGAGCAGGCCCTGACAGACCAGGACACACGCCACAGCCAGAGGCCAGCCAGTGCTCTCCAGAGCCGGCTTTAACCCTGTTTTCCTCATTGAGCTCCCGGGAAGGAGAGAGGGCCCAGGTTGCTAATTCCCGAAGGATCTGGGAAATCAGCCCCCCACCAGGGGAGATGGCCACACTGCAATTCCTTCTCCATTCTCCTCCTGGGATTTTGGGCGTGCATGCACATGGACCTGGCCTGATTTTCAAGCTGCCGGGTCTAGGACTTGAACCATAATTGGCCATGTGGGAGTCCAGCACCTCAACCACTATGCTGCATGCTGGCCCCCCCCCCCTCTCTCTCTGGAGAGGGTTTCGCCATAGGGCGCGTGCGCTTGCCAGACAGACAGAGAGACAGAAAGCGAGAAATCACCCCCCAGGGGTGATGGTCATGCCGCAATCCCTTCTCCTCCATTCTCCTCTCGGGATCTTGGGCACGCACGCACACTCGTCCGGCGTGAGTTTTAAGCCACCGGGTCCGGGACTCGAACCATGGTCGACTACATGGGAGTCCAGCAACATAGCCATTATGTTAACTGCTCGTCCCTCTCTCTTTAAGAGAATTTTCTGGGCCCAGCAAGTGGTGTGGTGGTTAAGGCACTGGACGCCCACATGGTTAACAATGGCTTGAGTCCTGGACCTGGTACCTTGACATACAGGCACATGTGTGTGGGCCCAAAATCCAGAGAGGAGAATGGAGGAGAGGTTGTGGCATCCCCTCTAGGGGCGATTTCCCACTTTCTGTCTCTGTGTCTGTCTCTCCAGCGAGCACACACACCCATAGCAAAAATCTCTTAAAAACCAAAATCACTAACAAAAAAGTTGCCATCGGGCATGTGTGCTTGCCAGAAAGAGACAGAGACAGAGACAGAGAGAGAGCGCACGCAGAAGCACCATTGGGGGTGGCGTGTCAGTCTTGCCTTCCTTCTTTTGGGATTTTGGACATGCACACAACCAGCGTGATCCTCAAGCCGCTGAGTCTGGAACTCCGACTGCACGGTGGGCCTGTGTGACCCAGAGCCTTAACCCCTCCGCCACTTCCAGCCCCACAGACAGCGACTCAAGAAGGAAACAGAACAGCTTCCCTCCCTCTCCGAGGTCCGCCTCTGCCTGACACCCTGCAGCTTTGCCCATTGGGTACCTGCCCTCTGACCTCTGCGTGACCTCAGCCCTCTGGCTGTGCAGTGTGGGTGCAGGGAGGTTGCAGGTTGTCCCCAACAGGCTGCTGTGCTCCCACTGCTCTCGTGGGGACACACTGTGGAAGCAGGCATGCCGGTTTAAGGGCACCCAGTGGCCTGTCACCTAGTGGCCAAGGGAAGCCAGATCCCACATGCCCAGCTGCAGTTTGAGGCCCAGCCCCAGCGGCTGAAAAACACGTGTGCGTTTGTGCCCCCAAATCCCAACAGGTCGGGGAGATGGAAGGGATTGCAGGGTGACCATGGCCCATCGAGGGGCACTTTCTCTCTCTCCTTGGCTGTCTTTCTGTCTCTCTGTCTCTCTAGTGAGCCATGTGCCCTCTGACGATTTTAAAGAAACGAAAGCTGGCTTAGCTGTCCTCCAGGAAGCACAGATGTCTCTACGGTCCTTTTTTTTTTTTCAATTATTTATTCAATTTTACTTGTTCATTCATTTGTTTTAATTTGACGAGAGTGAGAGAGAAAGTGAGAAAGCAAGCCGCCAGGTTCGAGACTCAAACTGTGGTTGGCCATGTGAGAGTGTCCAGTGCCCTAACCACCACACCACCTGCTGGTCCCCATACGGTTCATTTTTTTTTTAGAGATTTTTACTATAAGGCGCATGAGCTTGCCGGAGAGACAAAGACAGAGCAAGAAATCAGCCCGAAGGGGAGATGGCCACGCCGCAGTCCCTTCTCCTCCATTCTCCTCTCGGGATTTTGGGGCCCGGGTTTTAAGCCCCCGGGTCTGGGACTCAAACTGTAGTCAACTGTGTGGGAGCCCACCAGTGTAATCGTTATGCCGTCTCCTGGTCCCCATCTCTACAATTCTTAAACACAGATCCTGGCCCGCATGAGTGGTCCCACCCTGACTAGACTGGGCAGCCGGTTGCAGCTCTCTCACCTTG